TGAAAAGGATTGATTCCTCAGGTTCACACAATTTGTAAACGGAGGAGCTGAGGTTTTAAGCTCAGGTTCTCTGATTCTCAAGTCCAGCTCTTGTTCCCTGAGCAACTGTTGGCATAGCTGTGCCTGTCTGTGCCCACCTCCTCTTAAAATCGTGGCTCTGCCCTGCTACGAAAGCTGTGCTCTGTACTCCAGGCCAACGGGGGCCCTCGTGGGACCAGAGCAAGACCTTGTGCAGAAGCTTCCCCCCTTGTCATCCTGTGTGAGCTGGGGATCTAAGTCATGTTGCATGTGCTCCTCCTGAAAATAGGGCTTTGGCTTCTGTCAGTCCTTCTTCTTCCCCTGGCGTTCACGGAAGGACTAGAGACATATATTTTTTGTCTCCTCCATTTTTCCCGTCTCTCTGATATAGCAGAGAATGGGGTTGGTCTGTTTACTGAAAATGCTATTTGAAATGGGGTGTTATAAACAATGAAACAGGTGTTTATAAATGTTTTAAGACCTATGACATATATTCTTTTACCACTTATGATATAAAAGACCCTTTCTTTGAGTAGAAGATGCAAATCGGAGCTCCATTATCCTCCTTCTTTGAGTAGAAGATGCAAATCGGAGCTCCATTATCCTCCTTATGTAACCTTCATGCATGTCTATGAGTTCTGTTTCATTTAAAAAAAACCAGATATGTGAAATGAATGTTGAAAGATTTCCCCCCCCCCCAATCTCCTAGTGTCATCATGCCTACACCTATTTTTTTTTTGCAACTCACTCTTATGGAGTCTTTCCAAAGCAGTTAACCTAGTTTTCCTAGCAATAATAACTTTCTGTTTCACACCTACCAGCTCATGTACTTTTAAATTAAATTACATAATTAGAGTAGCAGATATAATTGCCACAAAAGGGCTTGGGAGCACACAGGATTGCTTCTTGTGCCCAGGAGCAGCTATGAGTGTTCTGTGCCCCAAGTAACCCACTGCAGACATTCAGCAGGCTGGGGGGTGGGATGGGGGGTGAGGGGGTGTGCAGCCTGGAGTGGGGGGGAAGCCACAGGGGAATCTAGGGGGTCCAGCTACTGTGGGCCCCTTCCTAGTGTCTCATGTGCAAACTGCACCCCTATGATTGTTTAGTCCCTAGAGAGGCCCCTTGCGGATGCATTAATGAGAAGTGAAGTGGCTGATTGGCTGATTTAGGGCTTGGCCTGGTTGGTGAGACATGCTTAGGCAGGCCAACAACCCCAAAGTAGGCCGACTAAAAATCTTCACAATCTTAACAAAATTAAAAAAAAAAACCCCACAGAACTTATTTTCCCCCTACTCCCTGTGGGCAAATAGAAGTATCCTGCCTGTTTTCATGTATAAACTGGTTGATATATATTCCTGAATCATAGGATCATAAAGATGGCTTCTATTACCTCAACGGTGAAAACTGCCTTTTTGGTGGCCTCCAAGCCAGAGCTTGAAATTTAACTTCTGCTTTGGTGCCACCAAGTGGTTGGTTGTGAGATACCACTCTCGAAGAGAAAGCCGAATAAACACTATGAAAACAAGAAATCTGAGCTGAACAGGCAGAACACAGAGGATTTTTAGGGCAGTGAAACTATTTTGGATGAGATTACAATATTGGATACATGCCATTATTTCTTTGTTCAAACCTACAGAATGTACACCATCAAGAGTGAACCCTATTCTAAACTGTGAACTCCAGGTGATAACGTGTCAGTGTAGATTTGATTGTTAACAGTGTGCCACTATGGTGGGGATGTTGATAATGGGGGAGGTGATGCATATATGGGGGTAGGGAGAGTATGGAAACATCTGTACTTTATGCTCACTTCTGCTGTGAGCCTAAAACTGCTTAAAAAAACCACCTTATTGCCCCAGCTGGATGGCTCATTTTGTTGGAGTGTCTTCCTGTACAACCAATTCTCTCTCTCTCTCTCTCTCTCTCTCTCTCTCTCTCTCTCTCTCTCTCTCTCTCTCTCTCTCTCTCTCTCTCTCTCTCTCTCTCCTTGCCTCCCCTCTCTCCAAAATCAATAAACATATCCTTAGGCGAGGATTTTAAAAAAGCTTATTAATTTAAAAAATATTTTATTCTACATATTTTCCCCCTTGAGCAACTGGTGTTGCAGGTAAGAGCAAGGTAAGATAGAGACACCTTCTGAGAGGCTGCCTGGCTTCTCAGGCATAAATGAAAACGCCTTCATGAACCTCCCATATTCCAGAGTCTGGGTCCTTAGCTCTGTGAATCCCAGAAACCATTGATTTTTTAATTGTATCCCAAGTTGTTCAGTTTTCCAGGGTTACGTCATCCTCACCAAACTTACAGGAGACTTGTTGCTATGTCAGAACGCCAGGGTAACACTATACAACTGGAAATGTAGTTGTAGCGGTAGACCAAAACACGTTAACTGAGCAATTCATTTCCTGCCCAGCAGCAAATTTCTATGGGAAGACAAATTATGCCAGGTTGGTCATTTGGTGAAGTCTCAGTGGCATGATGGATGTGTGGTCAGGGGGGTGGGGAGCATAAGGTTGTTTTTTAAGTTGACTCTGACTTGACCACTGTAGGTCTGTATGTAATTCAGACACTCACTTGGCTGGGTGTACAGAATCCTGGACATAGCAGAGGACAGGCTGACCTTGTCTGTTTCTTTGGGCTCCTTTTTAGAAAGCCTGTGCAGGACATTTTGCTTCTGTTAATCCATTCTCCTCAAATGGGACATAGTGTACCCGACAATATTAATGCTGTAGAGTCACTGATGTAGCTTCAGGCTTCTTAGAATTTGGTCTCCTGAGAATTTGGTCACCAGGATTAGCATTAGCACCATCAGTCACCATTTATAGGTTTTCGCTTAGGGGTTCTGTTCTACTTTATCTCTTGATAGTTTTTAGTTCTTTTATTCTCAGAGAAAAACTCATGTTTTTGGTGATTCTGTCCCTGAATGCAGGTTAAAATTTCTATATATAAAAGCCTAAGTGACCAAACGACTGAATGACCGAATGACCAGTTGACCAGTTGCTATGACACACAGTGACCACCAGGGGGAAGACACTCAATGCAGGAGCTGCCCTCTGGTGGTTAGTGCGCTCCTACAGCCAACCTCCCATGGTCCCTCTTCTTGGCTGGCCAACCTCCTGTGATCCCTCCCCCTGGCTGGCCAGCCCCTCTGATCTGCCCAATCATCAGCCAGGCTGAGGAACCCCATCCATGTACGAATTTGTGCATCAGGTCTCTGGTTAAAAAATAAAATCCTTAATCACTTTGGAGTAGAATCTCAATGGCAAAACAGTACTTGCCGACAATGGGAATTATTCTAGGTTTTGAGTCAGTAAGAAGGCATTTGTGCATTGGACCTCACTACACTGCTTGCATTTACGAGCCTTGCTCTGCGATTCCTCATTGGAGCTCAGGTATCTCAGGTTCTTGCTGCAGCACCTCCCCTCCCCCTGTTCTTGTCCCAAATTGCTGCCACTTAGGTCCTCAGTCAAGGGGACTTGGAGAATATTTGTAGAATTGATAAATTGCTGGCTTGTGTTGGAATCTGATCCACAGATATTGTTTGTTTGTTTGTTTATTTATTTATTTAATCTTTACTTGAGCAGTGAAGATGTTTTTTCCATTGATTTTTAGAGAGTGGAAGGGAGATGGGAGGGAAACACACAAACATACACACACACACACACACACACACACACACACACACACACACACACACACACACACACACACCAATTGGTTGCCTCCTGCTTGCATCCTGACTGGGGCCAGGGATCGAACCTGTAGCAACCCAGGTACATGCCCTTGACTGGGAATGGAACCCATGACCCTTCAGTTCAAGGACTGATGCTCTAACTACTGAGCAAAACTAGCCAGGGAAGATCTTCATTTTTGCCAAAATGTTTTTTAAAGTTTGACTTAATGGCCAAAACTTTAAATCAGGAGATTCATAAAATATTCTAGAGTATACAGTTTCTTTGCAAACAAGTAGGTCTGGCTATGAAGGGCCTATGTTACCACAGGGAATAAGTTATTGGAGTAGCCTAGGTAGGGCATGTCTCTTCCAGCTATCCTCAGTCTCCACCCTACCCTTTCACTCATTTATGTTACTGCTTGGTATTGGGGAGGTGGGACTCTTTGTGACTTGGAAAATCAAAACAAAAAATAAAACATACACAAACCAAGCATAAGGAAAGCAGTAGCTGCTCCCTGTCTCTTGCCTGCCTCCTGAGGGGATGCCTTCCTTGAATCCTGTTCCCAGCTTCTTTTTCTTTAGAACCTCCTTCTTTCATTATGCCACCTCTGAACCTATCCCTCATGCTTCCAAGAGGTGTGATGCTGGAGTGTCGTTGAGGAAAGCATACAGACTTTGGGATCTAGAGATTTGGGTTTGAATCCCAGCTCTGTGCCTCAGTGAGCTTAGTTACCGTCTTTGTAAAGTGAGGGCTGTATCTCGCCTCATGGATTGGTTTGGGTACCACATGGGATTTTGTGTATGAAACATCAAACAGAAGGTGGGGACTCATGTAAGAGTGTCTCTGCTTCTCTCTCTCTCTCTCTCTCTCTCTCTCTCTCTCTCTCTCTCTCTCTCTCTCTCTCTCTCTCTCTCTGTCTCTCTCTCATCAAGATATGGCTCTTTCTCTGCTTCGTGACCTTGAAGAAGTCAGCTGTACCTCTCTGCTTTCCCACCGCACACATCTCTTTACTCTCACGATAAAGCCAACTATTTTATTTATTCCTCATAACTTCCAATCTTCCCCATCTATTCATTTCAAATATTTTTCCTTTCCCTTTTGTAGCCAGACCTCTCTTAGTGACTCCCACCTGAGATGCCTGAATGGCAGGTGAATTTGTTTGGGGAAATTCTGTAAGGATGCATAACTTTTATCAAACCTCTACAAGCACTGTACATAGTTTTGTGATGGCAAATACTTTAGCTTCTACAGAAGTCTGTTGGAATTCTTTATAAATATATGCACCTTCCCCCATCTATTTTATCTCTACAGAAGTAGAGCCAAGGTCAAAAGCTGGACATACCTCAACAGGAAAAATTGGTACTGGAAGGGGGACACTTCGCCTGAGGTCAAAAGGTCCTGCCACTGTGGAAGAAGTGGTAAGTTATGTTCCTTTAGTCCTCGTTCTGCTTGGACATGTATGATTATTAGAGCTGAAAAGAGAGGTAAAGAAAGGTAAAACTGTGAGGTTAATTAAAGTGCTATCCACTACAATTAAAGCACAGACTTTAATTCATTGCCTACTTACCAATAATAAAGATTTAAGAAGGAACATGGAAACCGAGAGTGTATGAGAAGAGACTGTGATCCAAAGCAATCCTGAGCTACCTGCAGACAACTTTTTTTTTCTGGAGCCTGTGGACATCTGACTGTCTCAAAATGTTTAAGATATCAGCCAAAGCTCTGAGAGCCAAGAAAAGCCTCAGAGCCACCTGTAGGAGTAAATATACTTATGATTTTGATAATCTATCTAATAATAGGATAATATGCAAATTGGTTGGGAAGCCATCATGTAATGACCGATCAGTAGGCTGCGTCCCTGCCCCCTGTGCTGGCCCAGAGCCATGAGGCTCACATCTCCCACTCCGGCAACGGGCCCTGGGATGTGAGGCTTGCATCCCCTCCCCTTGCACTGGCGGGGGGTTCGCAGGCTTTCCGAGAGGCTCCTCTGCTGTGGGCCTGGCTGGGGGTCCACAGGCATGTGGAAGTCTGCAGGCCCCTGTGATGGCCCAGCCTGGGTATCCATAGGTTTCCCCCAGCTCCGGCCTACCTCTTTGGGGCAATCCATTGAGGAGCCTCAAATGTGTGGGCGGGGCCTATCTCTTTGGGGTGATGGATCATGGGGCTCTCACACTGTGACAGGGCACAGGGCAGGCTGGGGAAGTCTGCGCGCACGCGAGCCGCCCCCCCCCCCCCCCCCCCCCCCCGCCCCAAATGCATGAATTTTGTGCACTGGGCCACTAGTAAAAAATAATATGCATGAATTCCATTCTCAGCTGAAACATTCTATAGTTATCTTTGACTGTTCTCTGTCATGTCCCACATCCCTCCCATCAGCAAATCCTGGTAGATCTACAATACATCCACAATAGGCCAGAATCCAACCACAGCTCACCACCTCTACTCCCACCAGTTGGGTCCAAGGCACCAAGCCTTATCTTGAACATTATAATCACCTGGTCAGTATTCTGTGTTCATTCTGGCCCTCTTTCCCTCTGTGCTCAGCACAGAAGCCAGAATTTTCATTTAAAAACATCAATGAGGTTAAATTTCTTTTCTTCTGTTCAGAACCCTCCATTAGCTTCCCATGTTACTCTGGATAAAAGCCAAAGTCCTCAGCATGACTGACATAATTCAACTCTGCATTGTTTCTCTGATCTCATTTCCCACCACTGCTCCTGTCTTCCTGTGTCAGCCACCTGAGCCTCCTTGCTGTCCCCAGACAGGCCAGACGTATGCTGCCATCATAAGGTCTTTGTACTGCTCTTTCCTCTACCTGAATGCTTTGCCCACTTTTGACCCTGGCTCCCTCTTTGGCCTTCTTCAGGTTTCTGCCCACATATGACCTTCTCTGAAAGGATGCTTCTGAGTATCTTGTATAAAGAGCTATTCCTGCCACCACTTTCCCTGCCTAATTTTTCTTCCTTTAATTTTCTTTAAAGCAGAAAACACAATGGGACTCATTGTCTCCTAGTTTCCTTTTTGTCTATTGTCTGGATCCTTTGCTCACATGTCTTGTTCTCTGTGGTGTCCCAGCACCTAGAATAATAGTACCTGACACATCACAGGAGCTCAAATCTTGGCTGAATTAATGAAGTAACAAATGACTCACTTAAGCTTGAGCAGAGGAAGGGTTGCACTGATTAATTGGGTCAGTATTGAGTGAAAATACCAGAAGTAGAAGAGACAAAGGGAAGGAAGAAGGGTGGACAAGGAGGGCAGCAGGGGCGAGGGGCAGGATTCGAAGTGGCAAGTGGCAGGTCAGGCCCACTCACAGCAGCGAAGACAGTAATGATGTGACAGTTGCCCTGTGGGCACAGGGGACATGAGGCAGGTGTCTGAGGCCAGGGGGCTCCTGAAGGCAGGGGCCCAGGCACTGGGCCCATCTAGTCCTTCTGTGTGTGCATATTGTCTGAGGACCCCCCAGGTGTTTGAAGAGCAGAAGAGTGAGACAGGTGAGCCACTAGGAGGCTCTTCCTACAGACCAGGATCCCAGAGCTTGTGGGGTGACCATGGTCAGAGTCAGCCATGGGGGTGGCTTGATGGGGCAGATACTCGAGGAACCATGAGGCCAAGATTATCCTTCTGAATGTTTGTTGTGAGTTTTGGGGAACACAGGGCAAAATTTTGAGTCAGGTGTCTTGGTCCTGAATGTAGGAAAGGACTGATTTGGAGGCAAAGGGCAATGAAGAGATTTGGAGGGTCACAGGCATTTTGAAAGTGAGATATGATGAGGTATGTAAAAAGCAAAACCAAAACCCAGAGCAGTGACTTCTGGGTCATTCAGAGTCTTTACCTTTCCTGTGCCCAGCACACTTTGGGCATATTACTGAAGTCTATTAAGCATATAATGAATGAATGAACAAACCTCAGAGGGAGAAAGAAATGTGTAGGAGAATGGAAAAATAGTGGGAGGGAGCTGGCCGCGAGCAGTTAGGGGGATGAGGCTGGTCTGCAAAGGAAGCAGGGGTGGCAGGGGAAGCTGCAGGTTACTGCGGGAGAAGTGTCTTCTGATAGTTTGTGGGTGTTTCTCTCTTTTCTGTGTCCAACACGGAAAAGAACTGGGTCTGGTTTCTAAGTAGAGGCTGCTAAGGGTTAAGAAATAAAAGCAAGCAAGCAAGGATGCAGAGATAGAAGCAAAGCTGGGAGTCCGGTGGAAAGCTGCCCTCTTTTTTTTTTTAAAATATATATTTTATTGATTTTTTACAGAGAGGAAGGGAGAGAGAGATAGAGAGCTAGAAACATCGATGAGAGAGAAACATCGATCAGCTGCCTCTTGCACACCATGCCCTTGACCGGAATCAAACCTGGGACCTTTCAGTCCGCAGACTGACGCTCTACCATTGAGCCAAACCAGCTTTGGTGAAAGCTGCCCTCTTTTGATAGAGGGACAGGGATCCAGAGCCAACTCAGCAAATTTATTTTATACCCCCAAATACCAGGGAGTTTCACCAAAAGTTAGGATCAAAGGAGATTATTTGCATTCTTGAGTAGGCCCAAGCATTCCTGGTGCTTGACTGGATTTACATATCAAAGTCACACTCCCTGACACCTGGGCAAAGTTAAGAGGTAGTACTGACAACACCTCCACCTTTTTGGGGAAGCATGTTCCCAGGACGTGGCTCTGCCCTTCGCCCTGAGTTCAGCTGACAATAGAGAAATGCCCATATGCCTTCCCAGGGGCCCTCTACAATAGTTAACATGGCTAATATTTTTGAACACCTGCTTTGTATGAGCTGCTGGAATGAAGAGAAGCTGAAGATCCATGTGGGGAGGCAGGAAAGATTTATTCAAAGATAAACATCTAAAACCCCATTCCTATTCGCATAGCCTGTTTCATTAAATAGGGCAATTAAAATAGCTCATAATGGAAGGGAAAAGCTAGTTTGGTGCTAATGTTAAATTTGGTACAAATAACTTACAAGGTTAAAAAACATCCCCTCGCTGAAACCGATTTGGCTCAGTGGATAGAGCGTCGGTCTGCTGACTGAAAGTTCCCGGGTTCGATTCCGGTCAAGGGCATGTACGTTGGCTGCGGGCACATCCTCAGTAGGGGGTGTGCAGGAGGCAGCTGATCAATGCCTCTCTCTCATTGATGTTTCTAGCTCTCTATCCCTCTCCCTTCCTCTCTGTAAAAAAATCAATAAAAAAAAAAATCCCCTCATAACCTTGCACCACTTCTGATGTTAGCTAGACTTATTAGGATGATGATTTTGTGGACAATACTCCACCTACATACCTCCTAATTTATTCAATATATGTTGTTGAGACAGGCATGGTCCAAGGACTGGTGATAGGATACCAAGATGAACAAAGACCGTGCTTTCCTTTAAAAGAAGAGAGAGGCATGAAAAGAAGCGAGTACACACCAGAGCAATAGGATGAAGGTCCCAAAGCAGGGGCTGATCAGCTGCTGAGGGATGGAGAGAGAGGGGAGGTCAGAGAGAGTTCCCTCCAGAAGAGATGATCGGTTCAAGGTGGTGAGGAGAGTGTTCCAGGCATGAGGCAGTGAGGGGTTGGGGGCCTTATAGCGTCCATGGGATTGGAGTGTGAGTGCTGGAAGTACGTGGTGGGGTTGGTGAGGCTGGAGGTATAGATCTGGGTCAGGATGTGAGGGTCCATGGATCATGGGGGAGCCATTTGGGAACAATGACGGAGCAGCACAATTTTGAATTAAAAAAAAAAATCTCTTGGTTCTGGGGATGGATATTTGAGCAGGGAAGGTTTGAGGGGGAAGACAGTAGGCAGAGAGACAAAGGAGGAAACCCTTGCAAATAAGAAAGGATGGAGAATATTATTCAATCTCAAAAAAGAAGGAAATCCTGCTGTTTGTGACAGCATAGATGCACCCTGAGGACATTATGCTAAATTAAATAAATCAGACATAGAAATGCCATGTGCTCTCACTTCTATGTTGATTCTAAAGAAAAAGAAAACAAACCTAAACTCATAGAGGACAGAATGGTGGTTGTTAGAGGAGCGTGGGGGATGGGAAAAATGGGTAAAGGTGGTCAAAAAGAACAAACTTCCAATTACAAATATGTCCTGGGGATGCAATGCACAGCAAGCTGGCCATGGTTAATAATACTGTGCTGTATATTTGAAAGTTGCTAAGAGAGTAGATCTTAAAAGTTCTCATCACAAGAAATAAAAATTTGTAACTATGTGTGGCGATGCATGTTAATTAGATTTATTGTGGTGACCATTTTGCAATACCTACATACATCCCATCATTGAGTTGTACACCTGAAACTAATGTAGTGTTATGTCAAGTACATCTCAATTAAGAAAAGAAAAGGAAAGAAAAGGGAAGAAAAGGGGAAAAACGATGAGCTCTACCCAGGCAATCAGAATGTGAATGGAAGAAAGGGGATGAGATCAAAAGCTTTTTGGAACAGTAATACCCTGTGGCTATTTTGTATGGGAAGGTCTGTAATACTTGGTGCAGTAACTTACACAATGGCTGGACAGGTACAAAGGTAAATACCTGCGTTACTTTGCACAGCCTATTGCTTTACACCGACCATTCAGAAGACACTGTAAAGAAAGCAAGAGTGAGTTATGTGGTCTGTCATTGTTTTAAAGGCTTAGTGAGTATAATAAAAATATGAGAAAGTTGTAACAACATCCTCAAGGAAATAAAAATAAAATTTTATTTGCAATGAATGTTTTGAGACTACAAAGCAACATACATTTATGACAATATTAAAGGTATTTTACAATGTAATCATGAATTTAGCACTTGCATTTAGAGTTATTTAACATCTTTGGGCATTTCTTTTTCAGCTGTGAAGCCTTTTAAAATCAAGTATTGAAACAAACAGCATAGGACAAGACTTTATCAAATATAAAACTAAGATTATAGAAGAATAATAAAACAAGAGGGAGGCAAAAGTAGGTTTTCCAGTTATGAGTATGCAAAACAGTTTATTCTTATATTAATATTTATTAATTACTAGAGGCCTAGTGCAAGAATTTGTGCATGGGTGGGGTCCCTAGGCCTGGATGGCAATCAGGGCTGATTGGGGGCATCTTGCCCAGTCCTGTCAGCTGGGGGGAGGGATGAAGGAAGGGGACCGCAGGAGGTTGGCCGGCCATGGGAGGTTGGCTGTGGGAGTGCACTGACCACCAGGGAGCAGCTCCTGCATTGAGCATCTGCCTGGAGGTCAATGCATGTCACAGTGACTAGTTGACTGGTCGTTCTGGTTGTTTGGTCTATATATACAGACTAGAGGCCTAGTGCATGAAATTTGTGCATGGGAGAGAGGTCCCTAGCCCGGCCTATACCCTCTCCAATCCAAGACCTCTTGGGGGATGTCAGACTGCCTCTTGCAATCTGAGACTGCTGGCTCCTAACTGCTCACCTGCCTGCCTGCCTGATTGCCCCTAACCCTTCTGCCTGCCTGATCACCCCTAACCACCTCTGCCTGCCTGCCTTATCACCCCTAACTGCTCTCCTACTGGCCTGATTGCCCCTAACGGCTTCTACTTAACCCCACACCTAGAACCCAGGATTCCCTCGTCTGGTCGGTCACAGGCATCCAGGACTCAAGCTTCCCTCCCTCTAGCCAGCTGGCTTTGTCTGGGCTGCATCCACAGGCACCTGGGATTATGGCGTGGGCAGCTTGTCCCTCTCCTGGGCTGTAGGCACAGGCAAAGCCATTGGCACCCAGGACTGCAGGGTGGGCTGCTTGCCCCTCTCCTGGGCTGCAGCCCCAGTTGGTGGCACCTGAGACTGTGGGGTGAGCAGCTTGTCCCTCTCCCGGGCTGAAGACCTAGCCGCTGGCACCTGGGGCCATGGGGAGGGTGGATTGTCCTTCTCCCAGGCTGGGCCACAGGTACAGATGCAACCACTGGTGCCAGGACTGCTGGGTGTGTGGCTTGTCCCTCTCCTGGGCTACAGGCGCAGTCGCTACACCTGGTGGGATTGGGCCTAAACGGGCAGTCGGACATTCCTCTCACAATCCAGGACTGCTGGCTTCCAACCGCTTGCCTGCCTGTCTGCCTGCCTGATTTCCCCTAACTGCTTCTGCCTGCCAGCCTGATCACCCCCTAACCACTCCCCTGCTATCCTGATCGATGCCTAACTGCTCCCCTGCCAGTCCATTTGCCCCTAACTTCCCTCCCTTGCCAGCCTGGTTGCCCCCAATTGCTCTCCCCTGTAGGGCTGGTTTCCCCAACTGCCTTTCTCTGCTGGCCCAGTCACCCCTCATTGCCCCAACTGCCCTTCTTTGATCACACCCAACTACCCTCCCATACAGGCCTGATTCCTCCCAACTGCCCTCCCCTGCTGGCCATTTTGTGTCCACATAGGGGCATCAATCTTTGACCACATGGGGGTGGCCATCTTGTGTGTTGGAGTGATGGCCAATTTGCATATTACCTATTACATAGGATTGCATTTTCTGTACAAACAACTCTAAACCTACTTTTGCCCCATCCTGTATATCCAACCATGTTTTTCACTGAAACTTTTTTAAAACATTAACTTGTATCATTCTATTAGTTTGAGAAGTCCAACATAATGATTTGATATTTGTTTATACTGCAATTCACTGAAACTTTAAATAACAATTTTAGGAAAAACAGAAATGTTTTGGTAGCATTAAAACAAGACAAAAGTTACTTTAAAAATATTTCATTATGACCTTATCCTTAAAAAAATTTTTTTTTAAAAATATATTTTTATTGATTTCAGAGAGGAAGAGAGAAGGAGAGAAAGATAGAAATGTCAATGATAAGATAGAATCAGCTGGGTCTTGCACACCTCTACTGGGGATGGGGGATGAAGCCCACAACCCGGGCATGTGCCCTTGACTAGAATCAAACTCAGGACCTTTCAGTCTGCAGGCTGAGGTTCTATCCACTGAACTAAACTGGTTAGGGCCTTATAAGTTTTTTTGTGTGCATATTTTATAATGTCCATAATAGGTTAATATAGTAATACATGTATATAATTTATAAAAACTTCAAATAACACAGTTAAATAAAAAGTAACCAATAAGGGTTTGTGTTCAGAAATGTTTTATCTTGGGGTGAGCTGTTAAAAGGTTTGGAGACTCTGGCCTGGAGGACAAAGACCAGGGCCCTTTTCATAGCACCCAGGACCCCTTAAGATCCAGTCATATGCCTGCCAGTGTGTTTCTCATCACAGTGGACATTTTGAAGTTCCTGTGACAGGCTATGATCTTTTATCAAACCCCACGACCTCAAATAGACTTTGCGTAGTTAGTCCCTTTCACATGCAGCACCCTCTCCAGATGATCTGACACCAGTTAACTTTGAAAACACAATCCTTGTTACCTTCTTTCTGAAGTATTCCATGACTCTTAGAGATTTAAATTTACTTCCCCCATGATACCTCTGTTCCTTAAATATCATTAAAAATTATATTTATTGCCGAGACCAGTTTGGCTCAGTGGATAGAGTGTAGGCCTGCAGACTAGAGGGTTCCGGGTTCAATTCTGGTCAGGGGCATGTGCCGTGGTTGTGGGCACATCCTGGTGGGGTGTGTTCAGGAGGCAGCTGATCGATGTTTCTCTCTCATTGATGTTTCTGACTCTCTATCCTTCTCCCTTCATCTCTGTAAAAAGTCAATAAAAATATAAAAAAATTATCTTTATTATTGCCATATAGCTATTCATTTTCACATTTTTATCTCCTTCTAGATTGTTACTTGGAGACTGTGTTTTTGGCCTTTTTTTTGAATCCATGACACTTAACACTGATGCTAAAAATAAGTATTTATGAGTTGCAGAGCACACTCTAGATATATTTCCATTCAAATTAGCTGAAGTAAACAACCATGAACTGGCTCCACCTCAGATTTCCCCCTATGTGTGCCCTGACATTCCAAGATTTCATATACAAGTGTAATAGCTTATTTCTCTTTTCTTTGATAAAGCCTTCTGAAGCTAATACAAAAGCAATTGAAAAGGTCGATGATCTTCTTGAGATGTACATGGGAATTCGAGATATTGAATTAGGTAAGATTATACTATTTTAAAAAGTCTATTTTTTAATTTGATGGAACTTAATGCTTATTTGTATCTTTCTTGCACTGATAGTTAATGATACTTTTCAAGATGAAAAGTAATCGTATAGTAATGAAAAGCATAATGAAAATTATTTCTATTTCTAATGAAGAATAATGAAAAGAAGGTCTGGCCTTTACCACCTACCAGCTGGGAAGCCTTAGAGTCAAGTTAACATTTCTGAACTTCTGTTTTTCATCTAGTAACTATAATGATCTTTTCTTCATAGATTAGTTTTATAGATTAAAAAAAATATATGAAAAGAATTTTGTAAGTAATATATAAACAGCATTATTTGATATATTAACTGCACATCTATTACATTGTATATTTATTATATTAAAGTTGTGCACATTTATAAGATTAATGAAACCCTGTGATAAATGAACCTGGTGTAAGACTGATAAGGGCAGATTAGCAGCAAATTTCTGTGTATTTCTTTTAAAAAAAATATTTTTATTGATTTCAGAGAGAAAGGGAGAGAGAATCATTGGTTGGCTGCCTCCTGCAGGCCCCACACCAGGGAATGAGCCTGCAACCCAGGCATGTGCCCTGATTGGGACTCAAACTGTGACCTCCTAGTGGTTTATAGGTCTACGCTCAATCACTGAGCTAATCTGTCTGGTTAATGCTTTCTGTGTATTTCTTATGTTACCATTAGGATGTCAGAGTCTTGATTTATCAATTAAGTCTTTCCCCGTTATAAATAATAAAACAACAAATTGAACTCGAATTGACTTAAGAAAAAAATAAGGTGTGTTGGGGGGGATGTATTGATTCTTATAACTGAAAAGTCCAGAGGTAGATTCTGGCTTCAAGAATGGCTAGATCCAGAGTTCTCATGGTATCATCAGGATGTGGTTTTTCTTGTCTCCATTCTGGTTTCATTTTAGGCCCCCATGGTATCCCTTGGTAGCTTCAGGTCCTCCCTTATGAGCTCAAAATGACTGCCATGGTTCCACCCTCTACATCTTGGTGTCAAAAACAATGGGGAGGAGGGAGCGGGCCTTTGCCAAGTCATTCAAACAAAATGCTCAGGTTGTCTCTGATTGGTTTGATTGACCCACTTGATCCAGTCACTGAGGCTGGGGGATGGTTAGGTCAGGGTCAAACCTCTGGAGCTGAGAGTAATTTCTGAAACACAAAGGCTGAGATTGTGAAAGCCCTGGTGCCTTCTATGAAGGAAGAAAAATAAATATTCCCTTAAGAAGGGGAGTTGGCTGCTGGGTGGGGAAAGAGTATATGAGCACTTAGTGGTGGGGTTTGTGCCTGTATGCATTCTTGCGTGTGTGCTTGGGTGTGTGTTGCATCAAGTGCTTAGTAAATTATTTTTTTAATAAGCTTTGAAAAAGTTGATTTTAGAGAGAGGGAAAGGGAGGGAGGGAGCAAAGAAGGGATACAGAAAGGGGGTGGGGGGAGAGAGAGAGAGAGAGAGAGAGAGAGAGAGAGAGAGAGAGAGAGAAAGAGAGAGAGAAACATCCATATGAGAGAGAAACATCTATTGGTTGCCTCCTACATGCATCCTAATTGCAGGATTGAACCTGCAACCTGGGTATGTGCCCCAGTTGGAAATGGAACTGGCCACTCCTTGCTGTATGGCAAGACTCTCTAACCAACTGAGCCACACTGGCCAGGGCCAGTACCATGCTGTTTTGATGACTATGGCCTTATAATGTAGTTTGATATCAGATAGCCTGATTCCTCCAACTTTGGAGAACCCCACTTTTAACAGGTAAAAACTTAAAATAGTTCTCAACTTTAAAACTTAATTTTATATATAGGCTTTATTGTTATTTAAGTATAAATTGGGAATAGTTCAGTAAATTAGTTTTGCTCATTTGTTATTAAAAATACACAGTATATAAGGAAGAACGTTGGGCATTGCTACAGGTAATTATAAATGAATTTAAGAATCAGTTTTTGAAGAATCAATTTTCTTTCATTTTGACATTTTCAGGGAACTAAATGTTCCTTGAAAAATTCTTATAAATTAAATAGAAATCCCTTCATAATTAATTATCTAAGCAAGTTCCTCAATTGACATGAATAATCATTATCATTGTATATGATTAGCAATGTGTTCACCAAGGGAGGTAAAGTTCAAAGAAAGTAATTATTTGGAGAAGGCAAACATTGTTAAATTAGGAATTTCTCTCATTCAGATCTAATTAACATGAAATGTAAATCACAAATGTGAAATTGCTTCAACAGATTAATTATTTTTATTCCATGTGTTTCTTAATTTTCAGAAATGTTAATTCTTTTAAAAATATTTTTATTGATTTTAGAGAGAGAGGAAGGGAGAGGAGTAGAGAGATTGATGAGAGAGAAACATTGATAGATGGGTTGCCTCCTGCATGCCCTCCACTGGGGGTCAAGTCACAACCCAGCATGTGCCCTGACCTGGAATGGAACCAGTGACCTCTTGGTTAATGGGTCAATGCTCAACCACTTAGACATGCTGGCAAGACTTGAAATGTTAATTCTTAATGAATATTACACTATTGTTATGAGTTTATACTAAAAAATTTAAAAAGTAATATGGCAATTAAATAACTAAAAACAAAACAGTAACCTAAAAACAAACAAATAAAAACCCCACCACATTGGGATGTATTTACTATTTGAAAATAAAAAATGATTAAAATGAGTTTCTGGACCAATAACCCTGAAGATGAAAGTGCTCTGGTTGTAAAGTTAAGTTGTGAACTATGACTTTTCAAATGACCTAGTGCCTTGGAATGTTACCCATTGCGGGGGGAAAAAGGTTTTGGAAGATTATAAATTAAGACCTTATATAGAAACATTGATGAGAGAGAAACATTAACTTAGTGGGAAATTGTATAATATAAATTTCTTAATGAATATTAAGATGTAGTGTAATTTGTATATAGAACTAAAATATTTTCTGGTGATATCAATTTTGGAGTTTGGTGATTATTCTAAGAACTTTGGAATTTTTGGATGTCTAATTTATAAAGAGATCCAGAAATGTGTAGTAAGGAAATCTGAGTGCTAGTTTCTAAGTCATATTTTTCTATAAAGTCTTTTTAGCTTTTTTAAAAGCATATGATAATGGTATTTTAATCAAGATAGTGACATTTCTTCCTTGGATGATTTTTCTTTTTTGAGTAACTTTAAAACAATAAATATTATAAAAAGTTATCCTTCTCAGGTAAAGCCAATAAAGTTTTGGAAATAGATTTCATTAAAAGAAACTACATTGGCTCTATTTTGATGTTTGACTCATATGGATTGTTTGACATGAGTTGACATTATGAAAAGCCTTAGGGAAAATAAGTGTTCAAGACCTTCCATAGAAAGAGATACATACATACATATTAGTACATATATCTCCTTTTTTTTTTTAGTGCTCACCCAAGGATATTTTCCCATTGATTTTTAGAGAGACTGGAAGAGAGAGGGAAGCCAGAGAGAAATCAATGTGAGAGAAACATAGATTGGTTGTCTCCAGGGCCCGGGCGGGGGAGGAGCCTGCAACACAGATATGTGCCCTTAACCAGAGTCAAACCAGGGACCCTTCTATCTGAAGGCTGACACTCTACCCACTGAGCCAGACCAGCTAGGGCTGCTGATGGTGGCTAAACTTTATCTAAATTCTGCCATGTGCCATTTTATTAAAACAGATTCAGAGAAGTTTGGTAACTTGTTCAAAGTCAGCTAACATGTTAAGAGCTGGGATTCAATTCTGACACTTTGATACCAAGATTTTTCACCTGCAATAACGCTGTATGTCTAAAGTTCTGTTCAAGTATTTAAGAACTTAGTGGAAAATACAGATTGATCAGTATCACCAAAATAAGTGTCATTAATAATGTAAAAGTTGTTCAGTATTGGTAATGATATAAAGATATCCTTGAAATAGCCACAAGAGGTCAGCACTTAGCTGTTACATGTGATATAACAAATCTACTTTTAGTGGAGTATTTTTCCCCCAAATTGTATTCAGATGTTAAATATTATTGCAGTGTATTGCAAATGCATTATAGTTAACAGATGAGAAGCATTTTAATAGCTGTTGTGATGTTAAGGTGCTACGTTTTCCTAGTTCCTTTGCATTTCTTTTAAATCAGAGATAGTCTTTTATGAAAAAGAATAAAATCATGCCAGTTTATTTCTCCTGTAAGGATGTTTCAAATCTATGTTTATATTTTATGTATTAGCAAAAATTTATAACATGTTCAATGCATGCTGCATTCTCAATTTCTGTTAAAAATTTTGTAGCAAATTTGATTTTTAAAAAGATTTATGGAGCACTGTATTAGACACAATATTTCCAACACAATTACCATGCTGCCTAATTGGTATTTTTATTGCTTCTACAAGATCAGGAGTTTCTTGAAGGCACATACCATATCTTACTCAGGTTTTAAACCCAGCTTCTACCATAGTACTACTTCCATAGTAAATGCTGAATATTTGTTGATCAAATGTCTGATGAGAGGCACCAAAATGAGTTGAGCAAATTACTAAGCTTTGAGTCTTAATTTCCTACATCTATAAAATGGTTACAATAAAAACTTCACAGGGTTGTCAAAGCATTCTATTATGTATAAAATTTCTCTCACATCATAATTAATAGACACAGCTATTACCACCCATAGCAATGGTCATTACTAATTATTCTCAGTAATAATGGTCATGGAGTGAGAACATGTAGGGACGTATAACTGGAGGTGGACCAAGTCTGGGACTACATTGTGCGTAGGAGTTTTTCTTCACCTTTCTCCTCTGTGTGCCAGCATCGGTGTATGAGTGAGATCATACAGCTTGGGCTGTCAGGGTATAGTATGGGGATTTTAAATCATAATTTTTCTCATTTTTGTGACCAAGGAACCCAAATCAGAGATTACAAATGAGAGCAGACCAGGTCTGAGCATGCTGTTCTTGGGGTCAGTACACCAGGCAGTGCTATGAGCTTCCTGAGGTGCTAGAAAACCATGTGCCAAGCATTTCCTCACAGCTGTGTGTGTGTGTGTGTGTGTGTGTGTGTGTGTGTGTGTGTGAGAGAGAGAGAGAGAGAGAGAGAGAGAGAGAGAGAGAGACAGTGAGAGAGAGGGAGAGAGAGAGGGAGAGAGAGGGAGAGAGAGAGAGACAGTGAGAGAGAGAGAGAAAGATAGGGAGAGAGAGAGAGAGAGAGAGAGAGAGAGAGAGAGAGAGAGAGAGAAAGAGAGAGAGAGAGAGAGAGAGAGAGAGAGAGAGAGAGAGAGAGAGAGAGAGAGAGAGAGAGAGAGGAGGGAAGGGAGAAGGAGGGGAGAAGGAGGTGGAGAGAGAAAGGGAGAGAAATGGATTGATTCAGTGTCCATCAGTGACCTTGTTTTCCTCACTGTTCAAGAGCATCAGTCATCTGCACTGTTAGCCCTAGCTGGGTAGCTCAGTTGGTTAGAGCATTGTTCTGATACACCAAGGTTATGGGTTTGATCCCCAGTCAGGGCACATACAAGGAGCAACCAATGAATGTTTACATGAGTGGAACAACAAATCTTTTTTTTTTTTAATAAAATATATTTTATTGATTTTTTTACAGAGAGGAAGGGAGAGAGATAGTTAGAAACATCGATGAGAGAGAGAGTCATCGATCAGCTGCCTCTTGCACCCCCCCCACTGAGGATATGCCCGCAACCAAGGTACATGCCCTTGACCAGAATAGAACCTGGGACCCCTCAGTTTGCAGGCTGACACTCTTTCCATTGAGCCAAACTGGTTTCAGCAACAACAAATCTTGATGGCTACAAGGTGGAGGAGAGGCCAGCAGTAGCAGCTGCAAACCTGGGTATAGTGGGTAGATTGTTTAAAAAATATCTTTGCTACTTGTATTTGTACTAGAAATATGTGATATCTAAGCATGTTCCTTTTAGAAAGTACATTTTCTGGTGCTATTTTTCTTAGTTCTCTGTTGCTGTCTCAATAATTTTTAAAAATCTATTTTTGGTAGCTACCACAATATTTGAAGCTGGAAAGGACAAAAGTAATCCAGATGAGTTCGCCGTGGAACTTGACAAAACTCTTGGAGACTTTGCATTTCCAGATGAATTTGTCTTTGATGTTTGGGGAGCCGTTGGTGATGCCAAACGAGGAGGATTATGATGTGGCTGGTCCATCACTGGAGAAATGAACCATTCATTGTTCCTGTGTGTATATGTGTTTTTTTTTTTTTTTTTTTTTTTTAAATAAAATAAAACTATAAGATCTGCTTTTAGACACTGGTTTGGTTTTATGTGCATGGAATACATTCTTTTCAAAAAATATATAATTATGATTTCTGGATACTTATTAATGCAGTTGAATATATAGGATGCTTAAGATAAATTACATAAAATTTGATCAATTTTAATATTCATTTAAAAGTTATTTTTGAAGCAAGTTTTAGGGAGTGTTTCTGGATAGATATTTTGTTCCCCATTGGTTTTCTACATGTAAGTAGTTGATTGCAATAGCTTTGTAGTTCTTTTGCAAAATCTTAATGCAGTGAAAATTAGGATTGGAGTATGATTTGCTTCATAACATCTTCATCTTGTTATGTTAGCTTGAATAGAATATGTTCAGGAAATAACATGTGAATTACACCTACTGTAGGTCTAGAAGCATTGTTTTAATTTTCCACCCACTGAGTAAGGGAGGAGGATTTCTGTAGCCTGTTGATGTCAATGACCTACTTTCTCTCTTTGTAAAACAAGGCTTGATTGACTTTTATATTTTGCTTCTTTGTAAATTGCTGCTTTGGTTCTTAAAGCCTATTGTTGAAATCTATTGTGCTATGCATTTGTTTGCATGTGTGGAAGAAGGGTGAAGAGGGCAGATAGGGTAGAAATTGCTTATACTTGATTTTTGCAAAACACTTCTTGAAACATTAATTCTTTTCCACCCGTACCTGCTTTTTACGTTACCCTTTATAAGCACTCCAGGGAAAGTTTTTATCGTATTTGTAGAACTTTTCCTTTGAAAGAGATGTACTCAGAAAATAACTATGTTTGAGAACACTTTTTTGGTAAAAGAGCAAGGCTTTTAAGCTCCCTAAACTTTAGAGGAGAGAGTGTCAGAAATAGACCTCCCCCAGTGGAAATAAAGGGGGAAGGGAGCATTGAGAAAATATGCGAGCCTATTATTTTAGAGTTCTAACAGACTCTCTCTAAAACCTTACATTACTAAGAAAATTGAGGGTAAATGATCATCTTATCACTTTTATGGGACATTTTACAGAGGTAAGGGAAATGGAAATGAATGGCTCCAACTTAGATCCGTAATAAGGAAGAGCCTGGTGTAACCGAGCGTTCTGCTAAAGTGTTAGGTGGAAAATGCTGTGCGCTACCATGGGAATCAGAAACCATAGCCTGTGAGACCTGCATTCTAGGAAATCAGAAGTAGTTCCCTTTTCATGCTGGGTTAATGATTAGATAACGCTTATTTTCTGGTGCAACTTGATCATATAATGACCCACTTACTCTCTGATACATCTAAAAATACGTGTAGACCAATAGCATTTCTGTTAGTCTGATGGAAGTATTAGGTTAGAAGCTATGAGTGAATAAAGAGGGAGGAGATGCTGTTCAATTCATAGTCCCAAGTATTAGTGTTCTGTGTAAAATGTGCATTTATTATCTTCTTGACACACATTGAAAGAGATATCAGAGAAATTACATGTCCTTACACATATGATGGTTATAAAATGTTTCTGAGATTGTGAAGTGTATAAATGGCACAGCTTGTCCCTTCCTATTTACCTGAAGACCTAATTCTAAGAAATGACTCATGGTTATTATCAGTTAGGAGAGTGAAAATTGGATATGACATCTTTATTTCAATTGGAGACATTAAGTCTCTATAAGACTTAACATAGCCATAGATATTTTTAAAGTTGTATTAAAGAAAGACATTTTAAAAGTTCTGAAAGATGGGTTTAAGTAAACATTTAATATTTTTAACTGTTTGTGCCATGCAAGAGTTTTGGTTATATATAGGTAAAATATTCCACATTTTTTGGGAAAAAAGTTTTTCTCTTTTATAAAAACCATAGCATATACTTTAAAATGTTTTTCTGAGATTGAATTTTAGAAATCTATTAAGCAATACATGAAATTGTAAGTTATATTTTGATATTGTTTAAAAATATATTACTATTTTTCTACTTATCAATGTATAAATCTTCATGTATCAATAAAAAGTAAAATACTTGTAAAGCTATAATAATTTTATATTTTATATATTTAAAATGACTTCTTAAAATAAAAATCTTTTCATTAAAAATGTGATGTTTTTAAAATGAAAAATAATAAATGTTTGAGGTTTTTCAGAGGGAAGGGGGGGTAAGGGGGAGAGATCAACCAAAGGACTTGCATGCGCGCATATCAGCCTAACCAGTGGACACAGACCAGAGGAGTCTGTGTGTGGCGGGGTTGGGAAGGTAATGGGGGGATGAGGTCAAATATGTAATACCTTAATCAATAAAGAAATTAAAATTCAAAAAACCTTTATTAAAAAAAGAGTTGAGGTTTTAAACATTAGACTTGTAGTTTTGTTTAAATAAATGATGGGAATAACATCAGGCCTGTGATTGTTCAGACGTTTGGTTTTTTAACATATCTTTGGTATATTTCTTTCTCAGCTTATTTTATACAAAACATAACTTCTAAGGTTTCTTAATTTTAAAATCCCCCAATTTTTGCTTCGATTCAATGAAAATACATGAATGTACATTGCCACAGTACTTCAGGTTAAAATAGTCACAATCTGTTTCTGATATGAGATGGAGGTTTAGCCAGAGTGACATCTCCCCCTTTGTTCAACCAGTTTTATGGATAATATTGTAGGTAGAAGGAATATCAGCCTATAGCTCTTAGGTAGTTATGGATTACTTTGGACTCATTATTTTCTTGATACAGTTTGAAGGCCCTATCTAGGCTGATACAAATATCATGTTTCCTTACAAGTATCATGCTAATTCCATATGTTTGGGGTGCGTTACAGGAACCCTTATTTTGACACATCCTCCAGATGGATTCCAGTGAAAGTAAATTATGGACCTTTACTCTGAGGTCCCTGAAGGTCCTGGCCTAGCACTAGGGTGGGATTATAGATGTGACTTTAAGAATTCTAAACAGAGATATAAAGACATCTCTAACACAGTTAGATAAATGGAAAAATGGCTATAAAGTAATATGGAAAAAAGTCGTATATGACTGTAGGAATTCCTTTAATTTCACTTAAGTGGGTGATTTTCTAAATAAAACTTGGTATTCTAGAAGTATTTATCTTAGAGAAATAGACTTCCCAGAAAATATTCACCAATGATACATCTGAAAAAAGGTTAAGATCCAAAATTTATAAAGAGCTCATAAAACTCAACACCAAAAAACCAAACAATCCAATTAAAAAATGGGCAGAGGACCTGAACAAGCATGTCTCCAAAGAGGACATACAGATGGCCAAGACTTAGGAAAAAATAGCATCACTAATCATCAGAGAGATGCAAATTAAAATCACAATGAGATATCACCTCTCACCGGTCAAAATGGCTACCATCAATAAACCAACAAACAACAAGTGCTGGTGAGGATGTGGAGAAAAGGGAACCCATGTGCACTGTTAGTAGGAATGCAGATTCTCGCAGCCAATGTAGAAAATAGTTTGGAGTTTACTAAAAAAATTAAAAATGGAGCTGCCTTATGACCCAGCGATTCCACTTTTGGGAACTTATCTGAAGGAATACAGAACACTAATTCAAAAGAATATATGCATTCATATGTTCATTGCAGCATTACTTAACAATAGCCAAGTTATGGAAGCAACTCAAGTGCCCATCAATAAGATGAGTGGATAAAAAGTGGTACGTATATACAATGGAATATCATTTGGCCATAAAAATGAATGAAGCCCTACTATTTGTAACAGCATAGATAGACCTAAAAAGTATTATGCTAAGTGAAATAAGTCAGCCAGAGGAAGACAGATACCATATGATTTCACTTGCATGTGGATCTAAAGAACAAAATAAATAAAATTGAAAAGAATCACAGACACAGAGAACATTTTGATGGTTGCCAGGTGGGAGGGGAATTGAGGGGATGGGCGAAAAAGATAAAAGGATTAAGAAATAAATTTGAATAGTTGCAAAATAGTTACAGGTATGTGAAGTACAGCATAGAATATGGTCAATAATATTGTACTAACTCTGTATGGTGCTGGGTGAGCAGTAGAAATATTGGGGGTGAGAACCTTTTGTAGAGTATCTGATTGTCTAACCACTAGGCTATATACCTGACACAAACACAAAAATAATATTGAATGTCAACTGTAATGGGGGAAAAAGAAGAAGAAATAGACTTCTTAGTTGGCATGCCATGTGGTGGTTTTGTTTTAGTTTACATCTATATTTCATGCTTAATGCCTATAAATATTGGCTACTTATCTTACCCATATTAGGTGTTTTATCTTCTTCCAGTTTTGTAGATGAGGATCCTCTGAAACAATGGTTTCTAAAGAAAATTTTTGCTTTTAGTGGGATGGAGTTGACATGCGTAAAAAGAAGAGTGACTTGTCCCAGTGGGAGTAACTAAAGTGGGTGCTGTAGTTTTGATTATGGAAAGGCTAAGTGTAACTATGCTACTTGAATTCTCCTCATATAGATGTTCCTCTTACCCAGGTCTCTTCATGATGTGTTGAACATGATTTTCTGTGTTGTCTTATGCATCATCTAAAGCTATGGGGGAAATAATGCTTATGATTTTAAAATATATTATAGAGCCAATGAATTAATTTAGCCTAGAAAAAGTGGTTTCTCTAAAAGTTAGAATTTCTACCTCCTTATTATTCAGATAGGTTATTGTAAAAATAACTTGATTTGTTTTTGTTTTAATAGCTTTCCATTGAAAAGTCAACAGAAAATTAAAATGAAATAAACCAAAGACTTTCTTCTGCACGAAACAAAAAGAAAACTTTCTCTTCTGCACTGAGAAGAAGAAAAAAAAAAAAAAAAAAAAAGGAGAAATAGAATCCTGCACATTTAAGGATGGTGGAAGAACAGTAGCATACTTTAGCTTTGAGAGAAGGATAATGGGAGCATTGTAACCACCTTCCTTCACTGTCCTTCCCTCCTCTCCACTCCTTCCATTCCTGGCTCTTTCGATTCTACCCAATCTCCGTTCATGGGTTTCCTCAGG